GTGTTTTTATTTGATATATGAGTTCACATAACAACAATTATGCTGGAATGTGCTCGGGAGTGAAGCAAGAACGATTGGTTTCGAGTACCCGTGACTGAAAACTGTCTGCTTTATTTGTTATACCGGTGCGGATGTTTTCACGGGCTACAAATGCCTAAAATGAGTGTTTGTATTTAATGTAAAGATGTCATTTGTGAGTTCACGGACCTGGAATTGTGCTTAAAAGTGCCCGGGGGTGAAGCGACAACGATTGGTCACGGGTACCTGCGATTGAATACTGTCTGCTTCAATTTCTATAAACATTACCGTACTCCACGGTGGTAGTGCCAGCAATGACTTCTTAAGATTACAGTGCTGCTGAAGTAGGATTACATGAATTCATACCATTATTGCATTGCAGCAGTAGCAGTAGCTGTCAAACTAAAGAACGAGAATGAATGAACTATGAAAGAGTTGGGTACAAGTACTAACCCTAATTTGGTTGTACCCCTTATGAGCTACCCCACTATAGCCTACATAAAGTAAGCAGTATAACATTTTGACACACCCCCATAGGCAAAGTGGGGGAGAACAAGTGGTCACAAGACCAGTCAAGAAAAGCAAAGCAAGCTCGGGGTGGATCACGAAGTCACCACACATTCCGAGCACAAACAAATGGCCACAAGGCCAGTTCACATGCAGAGTTATATATAAAAGAGAACAAACAGTACAGTGATCATACCCTAGCAAGTGTAAGCATGCAGGTATATATATAGATCACAGTACAAGCAAAGTCACGCAGTGAGCAAGTGAGGCAAAGTAGGCACAAGGCCTAAAACAGTATAGAAACGTTGATGATCACCAGACTAAAGTGCCTTGGTGAATATATCAGCAGTGTTGGCCCGAGTGGCCATGTAAGCAAGGCGAAGTTGACCAAGCTGCTGCAGCTCTCGAGCAAGTAAGTAACGCAGAGCGATGTGCTTCGTTCTGTGCTCCAGTCTGTGCTCCTGACACAAGGCAATCATGGCCTTGTTGTCTACGTACAGAACTGGAGGAGAACAAGGCCACTCTCCAAAGTAGGTCAGCACTTAGGTGAGCCAGCGTAACTCTTATGCAGCCATGGCCCCTGCGTAGATCTCAGCCTCACAACTGGAGCTGAGAACAGAAGACGAGCGGGTAGACCGCCAGGAAACAGAGCCGGAACCAAGACTGAAGGTGTAACCCTGTGACGACCGCTGCGTAGCCAAGTCGTCAACCGAAGAAGCGTCTGCGTGTCCAGTGAGGACAACTGGACCCCGTCCTCCAAGCACGAGCCCCATGCCCGAAGTACTGCACAAGTAGCGCAAAAGCCTCTTAGCGGCCTCCCAGTGCTCTGGTCGGTGTCTCTCGGGCGCAACGTAGCGTGCCAGGATGCTAAGAGGGTAGGCAAGGTCAGGTCAAGTGCAGGTCATCAGGTACATGAGGCAGCCCACAAGCTCTGGATACGGGCCACTCGGCTCTACGGACTCGTCCGAAGGTGGAGCTGAGAGCGAGTGACTGGTAGGCAGAGGAGTGGACTGTGGCGAGGAGTACCGGAAGCCGAAGCGCTGAAGGACCTGGTGCACCATGTGTGACTGAGTCAGGGTGATGGTGCGCCATGCTCTGTCCCGGGTGATCTGCAAGCCAAGATAGTTGCGCAGCTCACCCAGGTCAGTGCAGGTGTGTCTCTTCTGCAGCTCCGACTTCACAAGGGCCAGTGCCTCAGTGTCAGCAGTGGCAAAGACCAAGTCGTCGACGTACACGAGGATGTAGAACGGCGGCAGCGAAGTGTCGGTGCGTAGAATCAGCGACGGGTCAGCAGAGGAAGGAGCAAACCCAAGAGCCGCAAGTGTCGTTCTCAGTGTGTTGTGCCACTCGCGAGGCGCCTGACGGAGACCGTAGACTGGCCGCCAGAGGCTCCACTGGGTACCTGCAGGAAACGACCCAGTGAAGCCAGGTGGGCGGCGCAACCAGATCTCCTCGTGCAGGCTGCCCTGCAAGAAAGCTGTGCTGAAGTCAAGAGAGTGCAGCTCGTAGTCACGCTGAGCTGCGACGTGCAACATCACCCGAAGAGTGGTCATCTTCGGGGTAGGGGAGAAGTTCTGGAAGAAGTCAACTCCCTGTCGCTGACTGAAGCCTCGTGCAACGTAACGAGCCTTGAAGACAGGCGGAGAACCCAGCGGCCGCTTCACCCTGAAAATCCACATGCCATCGACTCTGTTCGCCCCAGAAGGGAGAACTGCGTCAACGTAGGTGCCTGTGGACTTCCAGGATCCCATCTCTGCGTCCATGGAATTCTGCCGCTGAGAGGAGTAGGGACCCGTAATCGCCTCTGCGTAAGAGCGCGGGGTCGGGATGTCTGGTGCATCCGGGTCTCCCTCAGGGGCAAGCAGCATGGCCACGAGATGAGGTACAGCAGCTGCAAGACACTCAAAGTCCTCCTGCCTGACCTCAAGGACGTCCCTGCCAAGAGCACACTCACCCCCGACGGACGGAGGACAGTCAGACTCAGACTCAGCAACAAGACTAGTGGCGTAGTCGAGACGACAGGCGACAGCAAAGTCAACAAGCTCAGCAACTAGGGCAGACGCAGCAGCGGACTCAAATGAAGGGTCGGTGACAACAGTTGCTAGAAGACGAGGGACAGTAGGATTGGCAGCACGAGCTAAGTCAGACTCAGGGTCAGGAACGTCAGGAAGAGAGGACGCAGGAGGAGACGGCAGGGGAACTTGCAGTCGAACAGAGGAAGGATGAAGTGGCACAATGTGAGTGCCTGGGACAGGAGGAGGATGCGGATGAGGAACACGACGACCACTGCGAACAGCGCGAACAGGCAAGGCAGGACGAGACTCAGGCTCACAACGCTCTGTAAAAGAGTCTGTCTGCTCAGCGTAAGGAGAAGGAGCAGGCAGTGGGGAGTGTGGCTGCAACTGTGGCTGCGACTGGTGAGGTGGTGGAGACAGTAAGCTAGGAGGAAGGCCAGTAGAAGACGGGAGACTAAGAAACTGGCGAAGGACCGAGTCAGGTGGCGGCAGAGACAACGGCGACGACGGGACTAAAAGCGGGCGCCGCTGCACAGTGACTCCAGCACTAGGATCGCCAGCGCCCGCACCCCCAGCGCCAGCACCTCCAGCTCCAGGGTCTCCAGCTCCAGTGCCTCCAGCTTCAGCGCCTCCAGCGCCAGTGCCTCCAGCTCCAGTGCCTCCAGCGCCAGGGTCTCCAGCTCTAGCTCCTCCAACTCTAGAGTCTCCAGCTCCAGCTCCTCCAGCTCCAGCTCCTCCAGCTCCAGTCTCCAGCTCCAGCTCCTCCAGCTCCTGGGTCTCCAGCTCCAGCGCCTCCAACACCACCAGCTCCGGCAGCTCCAGTACCTCTAGTACGAGCACCTCCAGGACCAGCAGCTCCAGCACCTCGGGGACCTCCAGCTCCAGCAGTAACTCCAGCACCTCTAGGGTCAGTAGCTCCAGCACCTCCAGCTCGAGTGCCTCCAGCGACAGGGTCTCCAGCTCCAGTGCCTCCAGCGCCAGGGTCTCCAGCCCCATCGCCTCCAACACCACCAGCTCTGGCAGCTCCAGTACCACTAGGACGAGCACCTCTAGAACCAGTAGCTCCAGCACCTCCGGTACCTACAGCTCCAGCAGTAACTCCAGCACCTCCAGCTCCAGTGCCTCCAGCAGCAGAACCTCCAGCTCCTGCAGTGCCACTCCGAAGGCATGTGCGCTGAGCAAACCACTCGCGCAGCTGCTGCGGTGAGAGAGGCTCCCGCCGGTGATACAGTCGTGGCGAGGCACCCGCATGACCTCCGGCAGACGCAGTACCCCTGGGCTCAGCACCTCCGGACTCTGCACCCTCAGACTCAGCACCCCCAGGATCCGTACCATCAGGCTCAGCACCCCCAGGCTCCGCACCCTCTGCCTCAGCACCCCCAGACTCCGCACCCTCAGACTCAACACCCCCAGGCTCTGCACCCTCAGGCTCAGCACCCCCAGGCTCCGCAAATGCAGGCTCAGCCCCCCCAGACGCAACACCGGTCCGGGCGGATTCGCGTCCGGACGGATTTGCGTTTTGCCTCAGATGGCCCGGAACGCCTAGTATGAGCCTGTTCAAAGAGGTGGGGGCGGCGCGTTTGTGCGCGTTTGGTGCTGAGACCACATGCAAGGTGGGAGGGGTGTGGCAAGCACGAGCGTGACAAAAAACCCCCAGCTGATTCACAATTCTCCTACACCGGTCAGGACACGTTCACGTTTTTCCTCAGAAATGGCCCCGAACACCCAGTATGGGCCCGTTCAAAGGGGTGGGGGTGGCGCGTTTGTGTGCGTTTGGAGCCAAGACCACATGCAAGGTGGGAGGGGGTGTGGCGAGAATGAGCGTGACCAAAAACCCCCGGCTGATTCGCAATTTTTCTACACCGGTCCGGACGCATTCGTGTTTTACCTCAGATGGCCCGGAACACCCAGTATGGGCCTGTTCAATGGGGTGGGGGCGGCGCGTTTGTGTGCGTTTGGAGCCGAGACCACATGCAAGGTGGGAGGGGGTGTGGCGAGCACAAGTGTGACAAAAAACCCCCGACTGATTCGCAATTCTCCTACACCGGTCTGGACGCATTCACGTTTTGCCTCAGAAATGGCCCAGAACGTCCAGTATGGGCCCGTTCAAAGGGGTGGGGGTGGCGCGTTTGTGTGTGTTTGAAGTCGAGACCACATGCAAGGTGGGTGGGGGTGTGGCGAGCATGAGCGTGACTAAAAACCCCTGGTTAATTCGCAATTCTCCTACACTGGTCAGGACGCATTCACGTTTTTCCTTAGAAATGGCCCCGAACGCCCAGTATGGGCCTGTTCAAAGGGGTGGGGGTGGCGCGTTTGTGTGCTTTTGGAGCCGAGACCACATGCAAGGTGGGAGGGGGTGTGGCGAGAATGAGCGTGACCAAAAAACCCGGCTGATCGCAATTTTTCTACACCGGTCTGGACGCATTCGCGTTTTACCTCAGATGGCCCGGAACGCCCAGTATGGGCCTGTTCAATGGGGTGGGGGCGGCGCGTTTGTGCGCGTTTGGTGCCGAGATCACATGCAAGGTGGGAGGGGGTGTGGCGAGCACAAGCGTGACCAAAAACCCCCGGCTGATTCGCAATTCTCCTACACCGGTCAGGACGCATTCACGTTTTGCCTCAGAAATTGGCCCGAACGCCCAGTATGGGCCTGTTCAAAGGGGTGGGGGCGGCGTGTTTGTGTGCGTTTGGAGCCGAGACCACATGCAAGGTGGGAGAGGGTGTGGCGAGCATGACTGTGACAAAAAAAACCCGGCTGATTTGCAATTTTTCTACACCTGTCGCGCACTCGAGCTGTCGTGCACTCGTGCTGAAACTCCTGCCAATTCTCCCCGTGAATGTGTGCGTAGAGAGAACACGAGCAAACGCTGCGATCACTCTCACAACCATGCCTTCCCCCATATTCTAGCTCCCGTTGTAGAGTCTATCTCCGCAATGGTAATAGTAGTGGTAATGGTAGTGGTAATGGTAATGGTAATGGTAATGGGAGTGGTAATGGTAATGGTAATGGTAATGGTAATGGTAATGGTAATGTTGTTGGTAATGATATTGGTAATGGTAATGGTAATACTAATGGTAATAGTAATGGGAATAGGAATGGTAATGGTAATGGAAATAGTAATGGTAATGGTCGCGGTAATGGTAACGGTAATGTTAATGGTAATGGTAATGGTAACGGTTATTGTGATGGTAACGGTAATGGTAATGGTAAAGGTAATGATCATGGTCATGGTCATGGTCATGGTCATGGTCATGGTCATGGTCATGGTAATAGTTATGGTGATGGTAATGGCAATGGTTATTGTAATGGTAATGGTAATGGTAATGGTAATGATAATGGCAATGTTAATGGTAATGACAATGGTAATGGTAATGGTAATAATAATGGTAATGTTAATGGTAATGGTAATGTCGGCCCTCGAGCTCACGCGCTCACTCTCCTTCACGCTCACGCGCCCTCGCACTCACGCGCTCTCGCGCCCATGCGCCCACGCGCTCACACGCTTACGGGCTCTAGCGCTCAAGCCCCCTCACGCCCACGTGCCCTCGCGCTCACGTGCCCTCGCGCTCACGCGCCCTCGCGCTCTCGCGCTCACCCGCTCTCGTGCCCACGTGCTCTCTCGCTCACGTGCCCTCGCGCTCTCGCGCTCACGCGCCCTTGCGCTCACGTGCCCTCGCGCTCTCGCGCTCACGCGCTCACCTGCTCTCGTGCCCACGCGCTCTCTCGCTCACGCGCTCTCGCGCCCTCGCGCTCTCGCTCTCACGCGCCCATGCGCTCACGCGCTCGAGCGCTCACGCACCCACGCGCTCTCGCACTCACGTGCCCTCGAGCTCACGCACCCTCGCGCTCACGCGCCTACATGCCCACGCGCACTCGCGCTGTCGCGCTCACGCGCCCGCGCGCTCTTGCGCTCACGCGCCCGCGCGCTCACGCGCCCTCGCGCCCTCGCGCTCATGCGCCCTCGCGCTCACGCGCTCATGCGCTCACGCGCTCACGTGCCCACGTGCTCTCACGCCCTCGCACTCACGTGCCCTCGCGCTCTATCTCTCATGCGCCCACGCGCCCTCGCGCTCTCGTGCTCACGGGCTCTCACGCCCTCGTGCTCACGCGCTTTCGCGCTCTCAGGCCCTCGCGCTCTCGCGCTCTCACGCTCACGCGCTCACCTGCTCTCGTGCTCATGCGCCCTCGCGCTCACGCACTCTCGTGCTCACGCGCCCTCGTGCCCACGCGTCCTCACACTCTCGCGCTCACGCACCCTCACGCTCTCGTGCTCACGCGCTCTCGTGCCCGCGCGCTCACGCGCCCTCGCGCTCTCGCGCTCACGCCCTTGCGCTCTCACGCTCACGCGCTCACGTGCTCTCGCGCTCACGCGCTCTCGCGCTCACACGCCCTCGCGCTCACGTGCCCTCGCACTCTCGCGCTCACGCGCTCTCGTGCCCTCCCACTCTCGCGCTCTCGCGCTCACGCGTTCACGTGCTCTCGCGCTCACGCGCCCTCGCGCTCTCGCGCCCTTGCGCTCTCGCGCCCTCGCGCTCTCGCGCCCTTGCGCTCTCGCGCCCTCACGCTCTCGCGCTCTTGCGCCCTCGCGCTCACGTGCTTACGCGCTCTCGCGCCCTCGCGCTCACGCGCTCACGCGCTCTCGCGCCCTCGCTCTCATGCGCTCTTGCGCTCGCGCTCCCACGCACTCTCACTCTCACGCGCTCTTGCGCTCACGCGCCCACGTGCTCTCGCGCTCACGCACCCATGCGCTCTCGCGCTCACGCGCCCACGCGCTTTCGCGCTCACGTGCTGTCACGCACTCACGCTGTCGAGCATTCGCGCACTCGTGATGTCGCGCACTAGCGCTGTCGCCCACTCGCGCTCTCACGCACCTGCGCTCTCGCGCACTCGCGCTCTAGCATACTCGCGCGATCGCGCACTCGCGCTGTCGTGCACTAGCGCTGTTGCGCACATATGTACTCGCGCTGTGGCGCACTCGCGCTGTCGCGCACTCGCGCTGTGGCGCACTCGCACTGTCGCGCACTCGCGCTGTCGCGCACTCACGCACTCGTGGTCTTCGCACTCGCGCACTCTCGCTCTCGCGCACTCGCGCTCTAGCGCACTCGCACGATCGCGCAGTCGCGCACTTGCGCTGTCGCGCATTCGCGCGGTCGTGCGATTGCGCACACGCCTGTCGCGCACTCGCGCTGTGGCACACTCGCGCTGTCGTGCACACGCGCTGTCACGCACTCGCACTGTCGAGCACTCGTGCTGCGAGAGAGCGTGGGCGCGTTAGCGCGAGAGTGCGTGGGCGCGTGAGCGCGAGAGCGAGTGAGCGCGAGAGCGAGTGAGCGCGAGAGTGCGTGAGCGCGAGGGCGCAAGAGCACATGAGCGAGATGGCGCGAGAGCGCATGAGCGCATGAGCGCGAGGGTGCGAGAGTGTGTTAGCACGAGAGCGCGAGGGACCGAGAGCACGTGAGCGAGAGCGTGAGGGAACGTGAGCGCGAGAGTGCAAGAGCGTGAGGGCGCGTGAGCGCCCCGGGTGGGTGAGCGCGAGAGCGCGTGAGCGCGAAGGCGCAAGAGCGCGTGAGCGCGAGGGCACGAGAGCGCGAGGGCGCGTGAGCGCGATTGCGCGTGAGCGCGATGGCGTGTGAGCGCGAGAGCGCAAGAGCGCTAGTGTGCGAGTGTACGACAATGCGAGTGCGCGACAGCGCGAGTGCGCGACAGCGCGAGTGCGTGACAGCGCGAGTGCGCGACAGCGCGAGTGCGAGACAGCGCGTGTGCGCAACAGCGCGTGTGCGCGACAGCGTGCGCGATAACGCGAGTGCGCGACAGCGCGAGAGCACGAGTCCGCGAGAGCGCGAGTGCACGACAGCGCGAGTGCGCGAGAGCGTGGTTGCGCGAGTGCGCGACAGCGCGAGTATGCGAGTGCGTGACAGCGCGAGTGTGCGACAACGCGAGTGCGCGACAACGCGAGTGCGCGACAGCGTGAGTGCGCCACAACGAGAGTGCGCCACAGCGCGTGTGCGCAATTTCTCAACAGCGCGAGTGCGCGACAGCGCGAGTGCGCGACAGCGCGAGTGCGCGACAGCGCGAGTGTGTGACAGCGCGAGTGCACGACAGCACGAGTGCGCGACAGTGCGTGAGCGCGAGGGCGCGTGAGCACATGGGCGCATTAGCGCGAGAGCGCGTGAGCGCAAGAGCGCGTGGGTGCGTGAGCGCGAGAGCGAGTGTACGCGAGAGCGCGTGGGCGCGAGGGCGCGAGAGCGCATGAGCGCGTGACCACAAGGGCGCGAGAGCGCGTGAGTGCGAGCGCAAGGGCACGTGAGCGCGAGAGTGCGAGAGCGCGAGGGCACGTGAGCACAAGAGTGCGAGTGCGCGTCAGCTTGAGTTTGCGACAGCGCGAGTGCGCGACAGCACGAGTGCGCGACAGCGCGAGTGCGCGACTGCGCGAGTGCGCGACAGCGCGTCAGCGTGGTGGGCGACAGCGTGGCAGCGCGCCAGCGTGAGTGGGTGACAGCGCGAGGGGGCGACAGCGCGAGAGTGCGATTCCGCGAAAGCGCGAGTGCGCAAGTGCACGACAGCGCGAGTGTGCGTGAGTGCCTGACCCGAGTTTGGGCGCAGAGGGACTATCCATGGACCCTTTCCCCCCCTTGAAGCTCCCTCCCCTGCTGCCCAGGAATGCACATCGCGAGAGTGCAAGGGCACGAGAGCGCAAGAGTGCGAGTGCGCGTCATCTCGAGTTCGCGTTAGCGCGAGTGCACAGTAGCACGAGTGCGCGACAGAGCGAGTGCGCGACAGCGCGAATGCGCGACAACGCGAGTGCGCGACAGCGCGAGTGCGCGACAGCGCGAGTGCGCGACAGCGCGAGTGGGCGACAGTGTGTGTGCGCGACAGCGCGGCAACGTGAGTGGGCAACAGCGCGAGGGGGCGACAGCGCGAGAGCGTGAGTCTGCGAGTGCGCGAGTGTACGACAGCGCGAGTGCGCGACAGCGCGAGTGTGCGAGTGCGCGACAGCGCGAGTGCGCGACAGCGCGACTGCGAGACAACGCGAGTGCGCGACATCGCGTCTGCGCAAGTGAGCGACAGCGCGAGTGCGCGACAGTGCGAGTGCGTGACAGCGCGAGTGCGCGACAACGCGAGTGCTCGAGTGCACGACAGCTCGAGTGCATGACAGCGTGAGTGCGCGAGTGTTCAGTTAGTACCATATTCTTGCCAGTCCACTAGATTAGGCCTTCTACTTCAACAACTCTAGGTTATTACCTTTCCGATCCACATAATTTCAGAGATTTCGGAGTTCCAGTTCCGCCTTGTACCTGCACACAAGTGTGCATACTAACCGAACCGACCGACGCATTATTCTCTCTGTACAAATACAGTCAATACCATATGTATTCCCATTTCCTTTACTTTATACCATTCCCCACCCCCCTACCATGTTTTAACCTATTGGATCTATGTAATTTGGCAGATATAGACATTCCAGTCGTACATGGTACCTGCACTACAGGCGCACATACCGACCAAACTGACCAGCGCATTACTTATGTTCCAGTCCACTATAATAGGCCTTCTACTTCAACAACACTAGGTTATAATCTTTCCGATCCACATAATTTGGGAGATTTCAGAGTTCTAGTTCCGCCTGCACACAAGCGTGTATACTGATCTTACCGGCCAACGCATTGTTCAATGTGTAAAAATACAGTGAATTCCATATGTATTCCCATTTCCTTTAAATTATACCATTCCTCACCCCCCTACCAGGTTTTAACCTATTGGATATATGTAATTTGGCAGATATAGACATTCCAGTCGTACATGGTACCTGCACTACAGGCGCGCATACCGACCAAACTGGCCAGCGCATTACTTATGTTTGTAGATACGCTGTTAGTACCATATTCTTGCCAGTCCACTAGATTAGGCCTTCTACTTCAACAACACTAGGTTATAACCTTTCCGATCCACATAATTTGGGAGATTTCATAGTTTCAGTTCTGCCTTGTACCTGCACATAAGCGTGCATACTGACCGAACCGACAGACACATTATTATATATGTACAAATACAGTGAATACCATATGTATTCCCATTTTCTATATCTTATACCATTCTCCACCCCCCTACCATGTTTTAACCTATTGGATCTATGTGATTGGCTGATATAGAGATTCCAGTCGTACATGGTCCCTGCACTACAGGCGCGCATACTGACCAAAATGACCAGCGCATTACTTATGTTAGTAGAGATGAAGTTAGTACCATATTCTTGCCAGTGCACTAGATTAGGCCTTCTACTTCAACAACACTAGGTTATAACCTTTCGGATCCACATAATTTGGGAGATTTCGGAGTTCCAGTTCCGCCTTGTACCTGCACACAAGCGTGTATACTTACCTTACCGGCCAACGCACTATTCTCTCCGTATAAATACAATGAATGCCATATGTATTCCCATTTCCTTTAAATTATACCATTCTCCACCCCCCTACCAGGTTTTAACCTATTGGATCTCGAATGTCACCTTGCTGATTTGTTGGGCATTGAGGCTGTTATGGCTGCCCTCTAGCGGTTGAAAGAAGCTTGGTGTAAGGAAGGAGCGAGGGAAGTGGGCCATGATGGAGTGAGTCAATAGCAGTCACTGCCATTCTCCCATCCCTTTCTTCCCCTCCTCCCCCCCCCCCTTCTCGAACGGTCCATCGTATTAATATCACCAAGGTACACACAAGGTAAGGCAACATCTACACACAACCAAGCTACAGCAGCAATCTACTATCCTAGCACAACTAAAACCGCCCCTTCCCCTTCCGGCCCTAGTAGCCAAAGGGGTCTTCAATCAGTTGGTACAGCTGGCCCTCGCTCAGTGGAGTAAACGGGCCCTGCAGGCCTAGCACATCCGCGGTAAGAGCCTCATGGGTCTTATCCCTGAGGGCGTTGGCTTGGGCTCTCTGCAGGGTCACGCTCCATCGCTGCCGGTACTCGGTAAGTAGCTTAGCGACCTCCCTCGACTTTGGAGCAGCGTTGAACTGCCGCTTGCCCGCTAGCTCCGTGCAATTGCGGAGGAAATCGAGGACTCCATGTGAAGGGTAGCCGTACGTATCTACAGCCATGGCATAAAAGCCCACCCAAGCGCTCCGCCCCGGCGTATTTGCTCTCCTTCTTGTCCGCTTGCGTCCTTGCCGCCCATCCGGGTGCCTTACGGGCGTGCTCATCCTGGTGGGAGACGGGGTCTGCGACTAAGATGTCACAAATCCATACCTCACCGGTGTCGGGATGGCGGATAGAGATATCCGCTTTGAGGTTTTCGACCAGTGAGTATGCCGTCATCTCCTTGTGCACTGTGAAGCCTGCTTCAGCTGCTATCTTCGCGCACTCGTCCCGCAGGGCATGGTGAGTGACAATTCTCCCCCCCCCCCTTTCTCACACCGCATCAGGTGGTTCGGCAAGTGGTCGTCAGGGAAGGTGGTACGGTATCTGCAGTTGCAGCTTCTTGGCACAGGTAAGGGCAGGCCCAGGCGGAAGGAGGCCGCCGTGGAAAACTAAGAGGGCCCGAGGCAGAGGGAAGAGATTAAGGGGACAGCGTGCAACCAGTCCCCCGCCCCAGGGCCTAGGAGGGACTGCAGCCTCTGCGTATGGCTGGACAGCGGGTTCAGCTCCATGTCCCACGAGCTATCCAGTAGCCTAATGTACCGGGCTGTGTGTACCGCGAGGGAGAGTGCCTGTTGGAGCTTGGGCCCGTTAGGCTTTTGTCTCCCCAATTGGAGAGCCTCAATCCCGTCAAGCGGCAGCTCGGCTTCCAAGGCAGCTAGGCGTCTCGGGAGGGGGGAGGTGGACTCCCCGTCAGCAT